CCTCCCTTCTCCTCTTAAGATTTTGGGCATGCATGCACACACCAGGCATGATTTCCAAGCTGCCAGGTCCAGGACTAAAACTATGGTCAGTTATGTGGGAGTACAGCACCTTAACCACTATGCCACCTGCAGGCCCATCAGTTCCTTTCTTAATATATCACTACCTGGTATGGCCTCTTTCTCAAATCAATCGTTTAATTCAATACTCCTACTGGGACCGGCAGATGGTGTAATGGTTACATCACTGGACTCCCACAAAGTTGACCGCGGTTTAAGTCCTGGACCCAACAGCTTAAACTCTTGCCAGGTGCATGTGCGCGCATGCCCAAAATCCCAAGAGGAAAATGGAGAGGAAGGGATTGCAGCGTGGCCAACCCCTCTGGGGGACAATTTCTCACTTTCTGTCTCTCTCAGTCTCTGGTGAGCACACGCACCTAGCAAAAATCTCTAAAAAAAAAAGAAAAATTCAATACTACTTTATTCAGAACCCACCATTCTTAAGTAAGCACTAGGCATATAAAGATGAATAATGTACTGGCCTCAGAACTTCATTAATAAATTTTTTAATTTATTTAATGCATTAAAACTTACACTTTAATGCACTGTACCCATGAAGAAATTTCATTTTCCTTTATAGCTAATACTGGTCAAACTGTACATTTTTTTTTTCTTTTAAGAGAGATTTTTGCTATAGGGAACATGCATGTGCTGGAGAGATAGAGAGAAAGTGAGAAATCACCCCCTAGGGAGATGGCCACACCACAATCCTTTCTACTCCATTCTCCTCTCGGGATTTTAGGCATGCACACACGTGCCTGGTGTGAGTTTCAAGCCTCCAGGTCTGGGACCCAAACTACAGTCTGCCACTTGGGAGCCCAGTGAAGTAACCATTATGCCTTCTGCTGATCCCCTAGAGGAAACTTTTAGAAGACCAGGTTTGAGGGCTGGCAGATGGTGTGGTAGTTAAGTTACTGAGCCCTTGCATGAACAACCACATTCTGAATCCTTGACCTTTAAGTCCCTGGCTTGCTTTCTCTTTCTCTCTGCGGTAAAATTAAAAAAAAAATAATAACCATAATAAATAAAATTAAATAATTCTTAAAAAAAAAACAGATTTGTTTATTTTCAAAAATAAGACCTCACTCTTTTTTATTCTTTATGTAGTCTATTAGTTAATCTCAGATAATCACCTGAATTCTTATGCATAAACTAGTTAATGGATGAACCTTAAATTTACTGAATTACTCATTCAATGTTGAGTATTGACCAAGTGCTAGAAAATATAAAAGCCATTAACTGGGTAATGAGAATCTAATTTTTTTTTAAGAATTATTTTATTTAACTTTATTTATTTACTCATTTGTTTATTTCAATTTGACGAGACAGGGACAGAGAGAGAGAGAGAGAGAGAAAGCAAGCCACCAGGTTCAGGACTTGAACCACAGTTGGCCATGTGGGAATCCAGCACCTTTAACCACCACACCACCTGCCGGCCCCGAGAATCTAATTTAATATTAAATATACTGCACTTACATAAGCTGGTAGAAAGCTCACATGTGGGTATATAACAATTAAATTCTGCAATTTAAATATATTAGCAGCCAGAAGATTAACTGATTATTTGATCTAGCACTGAATTCATTTCAAAATGACAAAAATTCTTCATGAGTCCCTGGTGCCAATTTTGAAATGAGGTAAGTTTGAGTGTGTATCTGAATACTCAAAGCGTAAACACGGAGCATCAATACTCACCTGTGTTATGACAATGAATACTGCTATGCCAGTGGAGGCAGGAGTAGAATCCCACTGGAGAGGTCGGCTCTGAGACTTTTTCATCCTGACTACTGTCCAACCCATGCACAGACTTAGAAGGAGGTATAACATCTGAATTTGGGAAGCGATGTCAAAAACTAACAGGAAATGAAAACCCAAGTCACCAAGTTTCTACAATACAAAGAATTTTTTATGTCTTGCATTGAGATAAGAACATCACTGCTTTTTAAAACCACAAAAATACATTCTCATAGAGAATTTGAGGAAATATAATAATGAGAGCTATCCATGCAAAGTAACTCTAAAGAATTAATATTTTATAAGAAAAATTGCAAACATTTATACAAATAGTTAAAACAAAGGCAAGATTCTTATTTTAAAATACATATACATGCCCATTATTATATCACTATGAAGTCCGACCTGGACTCTCTTTTACTTTTCTCACATTTTTCTCACATTGCTTTATTTAACCTTATTAATTATTATTTTCCAGTTTGATAAGAGAGAGAGAGAGGCAAAGTAAGAAAGCAAGCCACCAGGTCCATGACTTGAACTGCGGATGACCATGTGGGAGTCCAACACCCTTTACCACCATGCCACCTGCCGGCCCCCTCACATTTTTCTCTTGTATATAATACTATGCACATCAATTAAAAAAAAACCACACTTCTAAATATTATTTTTGGAATGTGGAGAATACTAGTACCTTCATTTCTGGGTTGTTAATAGTTTGGGGTTTTTTTGGGGGGGATAGCTGAACTATTTTATGAAGAATTATCTTCTAAAACTGTTAAGAAACAACATGACGATCAAATGCACAGCCACTGCGGCATCCATTCATGCTGGCTGCAGTTTCGGAGTCCTGGAGAAAAACGAAAGCTCCATGTATTAGTGCGATGTGCCACCAGGTGGCCATCACTTACACTGCAGGGGAAGCCTGCGACTAACCAAAACCCCTGTATCCAGGTTGGCACTACAGGTAAACAACCAAAATCTCTATGTGCTTCAAGTTCCGTGCGTATTTATTTTATAAGCTAGTACTTATTGATTTTAACAAAAGGTTATTTCTTTTTCATCACAGTGTATTTTGATGTGAATTTTGGAAATAACTTGTGACCAGTTTCACAAAATAAAATTTCTTCAAATTGCCATCTACAACTTTGCTGTCTACAACTTCTACTTCTTTTAGAAGGATATTCTCGCAGAGCAAAACTATAGTATATGATATTTGAATTTAAAGTTGTAAGCCTGAACTGGCCATGTAGTGCAGTGGTTAAGCCCTGTGAGAGTCAGGCCCCACATGGCCAACCACCATTCAAATCCTGACCCCAGTAGCTTGAAAAACACGCCAGGGGCCAGCTAGTGGCGTAGTGGTTAAGGTGGCTGAATCCCACATGGCCAAATATGTGGTTCAAGTCCTGAACCTGGCAAATTAAAAAACACTGTGGGTTATCTGTATATGTGCATATCCAAAATTCCAAGAGAAGAATGGTGAAGGGACTGTGGCATGGACATCCTCCTTGTGGGGTGCTATCTCAGTCTCAACCCCTGATACTCTTCAGTGAGTGCACATGCCCTATAGCAAACTTAAAAAAAAAAAGAAAAAGAAAAAGAAAGAACACACCAGGCACCTCCTCACGGGGTGAAGAAAAAGAGGGAAGAGGGGACCAGCAGTTAGCGTAATGGCTATGTCACTGGACTCCCATATAGGCAACCGTGGTTCGAGTCCTGGACCCAGTGGCTTAAACTCATGCCGGATGCGTGTGTGTGCATGCCCAAGATCCTGAGAGGAGAATGGAGGAGAAGGGACTGCATCATGGCCATTCTCCCTGGAGGGTGATTTCTTGCCTTCTGTCTCTCTGTATCTCTCTGTCTTTCTGGTGAGCGAACATGCCCTATAGCAAAAACCTCTCCAAAAAAAGAAAAAAAAAAAAAAGAAAGAAAGAAAAAGAGGGAAGAGGATTATAGTATGATCAGACTCCACCGGGGGTTGTTTCTCTGTGGTGAGCACACTCACTCTCTGACAACAAAAAAGAAATACACGAATAAATACAGCAAGCTAAAAGCCTAGCAGTGAAACACCTTTCCAGACACAATTTTAAGAGATCTTCCCTTGCTCTGCCGTCTAAGTTAAAACTGGGTAGTTTACATTCCTACCTATATATCTCTGTGATACTGAATTCTGATAGAGAGCTGTCACTAAATTCAAACACTATTAAATATCATGCTTTTAATAATCAAGCACACTTTTCTTTCAACATATTTTTTTATGATGTCAATTAACTTTATTACACTTTTCTCAAATGCATATTCAGGTTCTTAGATGAAGTTAGTCAAAGGAATATTCCTATATAAGTTGCCAAGAACAGAGACATCTAGGGGAAAACCCTCTAATTTTCTGGCTCATTTCTTTATGTGCTAAGTGATGCACGGACTGACGTAATACTATAACTGGATAGAGAAAACACTGCTCATTTGTTGAAAAATAATAAACTGTAGATAGGGAACCAGCAGTTAGCGTAATGGCTATGTCACTGGACTCCCATGTAGTCGACCGCGGTTCGTGTCCCGGACCCGGTGGCTTAAAAAAACTCACGCCGGGCGCATGTGCGTGTGTGCCCAAGATCCCGAGAGGAGAATGGAGGAGAACGGATTGCGGCGTGACCATCCCCCCTGGGGGGTGATTTCTCGCTTTCTGTCTCTATGTCTCTCTCTGTCTGTCTGGCGAGCGCATGCGCCCTACAGTGAAAATCTCTCCAAAAAAAAATAAATAAATAAAAAATAAAAAAAATAAACTGTAGATAAAACACACAGATCACACAAAAAACATTCTGTCTTGAATTTTAATCATTTAACCAACCAAACCTTTTTTGTAGAACCAAAGTTAGCAACATCAAACAGCTATAATTTTTAAAAAAAAACAACTTTTTTTGACCTTCAGTGAAAATGCCAGATGACCAACAACACTATTATACATAATGTTTACAAACACTATGTTTATAAATATATAAAAACTGCTATCACACAGAGAAGACATTCACAAATATTTGACAGTCCTTAATTTTAATAACAGTATTGCCACGAATCAGCTCTGTGTACTTCACCTCTCTGGACCTGAATTTCCTCTTCTACAATGCACAAGCTAAACTATTTCTAAGGTTTTGTCCGGCTTTAAAATTCTATGATTTAAACATCTAAAATCATCCAAAAGAGAGAAGCCAGTGTGTTAGATAATGTTAGAAAAGAATAAGCTTTTATTGCTCTTGCCCAAGGGTGGATAGTACACATTCTCTTCACAAGGAGAAGAGAAAGGTTCTTAAAGGTTTAGAATCTTAAAATGGGCAACAAGGTCAGGATAACTGCACCCTGAGAGGATTAAGAGATGACCACGAGATATCCTATTAAAAACTGATTAGACTAGCAGGGAAATATGGAAACACAGGAAAAGTAAATCCTAGAATACTTTCATATTCAGGACCTGCTTTTTAAAGCCAATCTTTTTTTTTTTTTCTTCTTTTTTTGGAGAGGTTTTTTGCTATAGGGCGTGTGCGCTCGCCAGAAAGAGAGAGACAGAGAGACAGAAAGCGAGAAATCCCCCCCCCAGGGGGGATGGCCACACTGCAATCCCTTCTCCTCCATTCTCCTCTCAGGATCTTGGGCACGCACGCACACGTGCCCAGTGTGAGTTTAAGCTGCCGGGTCTGGGACTCGAACCACGGTCGAATACATGGGAGTCCAGCAACATAGCCATTACGCTAACTGCTGGTCCCTAAAGCCAATCTTATCTTAAATAGTTTTCAGGCATATAACTTGAAGTCCCTCTGAAGTTCTTTTCAATGCATGACTGCCCAGCTGCAGCGGTGCGGGTGGTAAGGCTCCATTCTGCAGGGCTGGAGCCATACGGAAGATTGTAGTTTGGCTCCCAGAGCAACCTGAAACATACCAGGTGCACCTGAGCGCCAGGCTAACTGGAAAGCTGGGTTTGTGGTGCGCCTGTTCCTCTTTTGTTCACTGAGGAAATGAAATGAATAAACTTATTTTTTAAATGTTATGATTAAGGATCTTTTAAATACTTTCCAACTGATGGGACCAGCAGTTGGCGTAATGGCTATGCTGCTGGACTCCCATGTTGTCAAGCACGGTTCGAGTCCCGGACCCAACGACTTAAACTCAAGCCGGGCGCGTGTGCGTGCATACCGAAGATCCCGAGAGGAGAATGGAGGAGAAGGGATTGCGGTGTGGCCATCCCCCCTAAGGGATGATTTATTGCTTTCTGTCTCTCTCTGCCTTTCTGGTGAGCCCACACACCCTTTAGCAAAAACCTCTCAAAAAAAAAGTTACTTTGTAACATTTCCTCTTATAAAGAAAAGATTAAAGATTAAGTGAAGTCAGTGCCATTCTAAGTGTACCCTACGCTTTGGGTCAGACATAGAGAAAAAGAGTCAGGGTAAAAGAAAAGGAACTATAATAGGGAAAAGATTTCCAGCTTTGAGGTCAGGAAATCTGAGTCTGAGCTCTCCCACTTAATAGCTGACTGACATTTGAAAATGTGCTTCATCCCACCATACCCAGACTCTTTATCTGCAAAAAGGATAAACATATCTATTTTTTTATGGAGGACAAAATGAGGTGTATAGAAATATGCTCTGAAAATAGTGAATGACTATACACACTATCTGTTATTAAAAAACTAAACAGGACATATGGGAACTAAAATCTATACCGTTATTTTCAGTTGAGCTGAATTCTAACAAATCTTGGACAGAAAAGCTATACTAGGACAAAAAAATACTTAAAAAAGAACAAACAAACAAACAAGAAGTGGACAGTTAAAAGCAAAAATGTTTAGAAAGATACTCACATTCTGCCAAACTTCCCATAAAAGGTACCCCTATTCCATCTCTTGAGTAACTGAGAAGTGAAAAAGAATAGTGTAAATTTCAAATGTGAAACAAATTTTCACAATCAAAGCAAGCATAATTTTGGTGGGCTAGTTAGGATTAATTAGACGTAATGATGAACACAGTTTTAGTTGTTTTGAGTTACCTGGAGAAATGAATGTAATTAGCTAAAGCTGAACCAGCTTGTAACAGCAATGCAGTTGTCAGAACCTTTAAAATCATGTGCATGGGTCCTCCTTTCTTAATAGCCTGCCACAATGACTGAGCATAAATGCAAGCAATCACAAAGTACACTAGGACTAGAAGGAAAAAGAACTCATGTAACCCTGTGAAGAGAAGAAAGGGAGTTTGCTTCAGTAAAACAAAGCCAGTTACAGTGCTGGGTTGCTGTAAAATCTGTCAAGTTATTTCTAGAACTTGTTTTTTAAGTGAAGTCACAGTATTCACTTTTGTAAGAGAAAAAAGATGAATCGTTAAAATTTAAACAATTTTCTACTCTGGTACAAATTTGAACTCTAAGAAGGTACATTAAACCAAGCTAAAGCCAACCTATGAAAAAGTGTGGTCAGAGAAGCGGAAAGACTCATCATAAAAATCACATTTTTATTTAAAAACAGTAAATAATAATGACTTTTAGCATTTAGTTAGATTTACTTTGTATTCCTAAACTGGATTTCTTTTGTAAGGAGTTTAGGAATTGAGTTAGTCAGTCGGCAATTATTTAAAATAGTCTGACAGTGCATCTTAAAGTGTGGAGCCCGGGTCCAGCATCACCAGGAAACTTGATATAAATGCAAATTCTTGGGCTCCACTTCAAATTTACTCAGTCAGAAACTGTGAGCTGAGCCCACCAACACAGGTGTTAGCCCAAAGGGCGGTTCTGATACAGCTAATGCTTGAGAACCACAGCGCTGGAATGTCCCATTTCCTTTCATTTCCACTGAACAAAGCTTCAAAATATGTCATGGCCAGAGCCCTCTTCTGAGTTTAACTTTCTGCAGCTCTTGTCACAGAGGAAATCCTATGGAGATCATGTGACTCCACTCCACAGTTGACTAAAACTGTAACACGTAACCTTTAAGTGGCTAGCATTCAAGTGGTCAATAATATAACTTGGTTCTCAAAGGTAAGTTAGGCTAGTCATATTCTCTCTTGGGAATTCAAACTATACAGCACGGAAAAGAAGCAGGCTATAGAAGCTAAAGGTGAAAGAAGTTAATACAGACTAGAGCAGGAAAGCTAGGCCATGATGGAATCAAAGATTTGAGTGAGCGGGAAATGATGATGAACAAGGAAAGCTGGCTGACAAAGAAATGAACAAAGTCAGAGCAGATTTTATATTGAAAGTGGTACCAGTCAGTATGCTGGCCTCTAGTTCCGACTAGTAGCTTTTTAGTACAGTTTTCATGTACTCTCATGATAAATAGCACTTTCTGCATTAACTTGGAAACTTTTGACTAAGACTTCATTTAACCAATTTAAAAAAAAAAATCATAACCAGAAGGCTAGCTTTGAGTTTAACGTTTACATTTCAAGGCAGTTCCCAGTATTAAGACCTTTGCTCTCTATAATCTCTAACTTCAGACTGTCACGAAGTGGCTGTGAATAGGGCCGGCTCGAGTCCGGGTGAGCAGTCCCAATTGTAATCGCTTTCCTTCCGGTTGTGAACAATGAAGCTGCTAGAGTTTCTCATCTGGGATAAATTCCAATTAATGGGCAGAAAAGGCAATATTTTCATGATGTGGAAAACAATTTTGGAAAGTCAATCCATAAGATAGAGGTCAGAGGAGAAACAGTTGATAAATAATTCAACCATGATCATGTTTTTGGTATATAGATAGAGGGGGAAAAAAAAGTAGCAAAAAATATTTTGGCCACTGGGTGTCTCTCCTGCTCTATGTATATAAATGCTGAAAAGTCACTTTCTATTGTAGGTGAAAAGCATCAGGAAAAGATCAAATAATTGGAGGGGCCTACTATCCTTACATAGAAAAGTATTCCAGCTTTGAAATAAGAGGGCCATAATCCTGGGATTATTACAGTGCTGGAAGAAGATATAAAATACAAATGCTAAACATGTAACAACTGTGGGCTAGTAAAATTCTTTATGCTATCCTGTGCTTCAGATCTTAGTTTTTATCTTTCCTTCTTAGTATTAAAGAATGGCATTCTACATAAGATTTTCTGTAATACTTATAATACTTTACAAAATACCATTACAAGATAAAGTTTCAGACTCCATTAGGTTACAAATCCACCATAAAAGAAAATCCTCATACTATTAACCGAGGACTCAGACTAATGTAGGAAAGAGACTTTTGAAAACAAGACATACGTTACCAGCAAAAAAATGTTTGAGGATTATTTAAGGTTAAATTTATCTTCCAGAAAAATCTAACATTATAAGCAATAAAGAAAATCATTTTATTGAGATAATATGTTAATAAATGAATTGTAGGGACCAGTAGGTGATGTAATGATTACGTTGCTGGACTCCCTTGTGGCCAAGTGTGGTTCAAGTCCCAGACCCAGTGGCCTGAAACTCACACGGGGTGTGTGTCTGCGCATGCCCTGAAACTCAGGAGGAGAAGGGATTGCAGCGGAGCAATCCCGCCCCCCCTCAGGGGGTGATTTCTCATTTTCTGTCTCTCTGTCTCTCTCTGTCTCTCTGGGGAACGCATGCACCCTAGAGAAAAAATTTTTCTCTAAAAAGAAAAAACCAGAATTATATTACAACATTTATCCTATACTCCATGCTCTGAATTTTAGGTAGATGGTTCTTATCTTGAACCTGTCCATAGATACTATAAAGATAAAATAATGGTTCTGCACTGTAATTTTTAAAAAATCACCACTAAAAATAATCTTTTATTCTTTCTTTTCAGCCACCAGCTGTTCTGCCACTAGCCTTCACAAAGAGAACAATCCATATTTGCTCACTTTAAAATTAAAAACTAATTTAAAAACATAGGTATAGAGCCAGCAGGAGGCATGGTGGTTGAAGTCCTGGACTCCCACATGGCCTACTAAGGTTTGAATCCCAAACCCAGCTGCTTGAAAATCATGCCAGGGGTATTTGTGTGTATGCCCAAAACCTTCAGAGGAGAACAGAAGAGGAGAATTTGGGGTGTGGCCACCGCCCCTGGGGATTTCTCACTTTTCCCTCTTACTGTCTCTGTCTCTCTAGAAAGTGTACTTGCTCTATGGGAAAACAATAACAAACAAGACACAGGTATATTACCAAGTGTTAAATCTTAATATGTACTAGATAAGAAAAATAATCTTAAATAAGTACAACTGGTGGTAAGCACTTATGTTACAAGAAAATGTGTGGGATTTTTTGTTTGTTTTTTACTGAGAGAGATTTTTGCTACAGGGTGTGTGCTCGCCAGAGAGACAGAAGCAGAGAGCAAGAAATCATTCCCTAAGGGGGATGGCCATGCTGGAATCTCTTTTCCTCCATTCTCTTCTGGGGATCTTGGGCACGCACGCATAAGCACCCAGTGTGAGTTTTAAACCACTGGATCTGGGACTCAATCTATGGTCGACTACATTGGAGTCCAGCGACGTAATCATTCTGCCATCTGCTGGTCCCAAAATGTGTGGGTTTTAAGCTTAAAGGAAGTGGTGTTCAGTACAAAGAAAATTTAGAGGGCAGCTTGAATAAATTTAGCTCCAGCTAAATGAGGGCAGAGGAAGGCGGAGAAGAGAGTAAGAAAAGGAGAACAAGTCCTTGGATCATGGCATAGCACGTGGGAGAGACACTCCTGCCTATCCAGTGCTTGCTGTCCCAGAGCCCCCATGCACACCCCCACCTACCCTCAAGATGGTGCCTTAGATAAATCCTACTTAGTAACCAGACATTCCAGTACCCTGCCAGTGAGAGGTGAACCTAACTGTGCTGACACGTTTGTCCACCCTTATCTTCTCTTCGACATCTGAACTTGTATTTCTCTTCTGAGACGATTCTGGCCAATTAAATGAGATGGGAGCACCTCAAAAAGATTTCCTTGCTATGAAATAGAGATACTGAATTCTGCCATTATTTGGACATAATGCTTAGACTGCTTTAGTTCACTTTGACCTTGAGGACGGTAGCCCAAGGACAAAACTGATGATCAAAGAATAACAGGGTAGAAAGATACTAAGTAAACTACCCTGGAGAAGCCTTGAAATGTCTTATTGTGTAAGATAATTTCCTTATTGACTACACTATTTGCATTACGGTTTTCTGTTACTTAAAGCCCAAAACATTCTAACATGTTCCCAGAACTAAATGGAAGATCCAAGCCATTATCTTTTGGAACATGGAAGAAAAAGAGGGACAACAGAAAACAATAAATATTATCTCCCAGAATCTTAAAAATAGAAATGACAGATGTAGCAGAACTTGTCATATTATTCCCATGAAAACCAGTCTAATATGCCGTTAATTAAAAATGGTCTAGTATGCTAGATACAAGTAGAGCACCTCTATTCCAAAATGTTCCAAAATTCAAAGATTTGCTGAGTGCAGACTGGACACTTCCGGTAGAAAATACCACACTCCACCTCATGTTATAGGCTGCAGTCCCAGCACTACAGTACAAAACCATGTGTTATATTCTAATAACATATGTGCACAAGGTGTCTGTGAGACACAGAGAAATTTCATGTTTACATTTGGGTCCATCCCTAAGAAATTTCACTATGAACATGCAAATATTCCCAAATCCCCAAAATTCAAGAGATTTCTGGCCCCAAGTACTTTGGGTAGGGGATATACAACCTATACTACTTCTTTTGGTCTTACTCAACCCTATACTTCTTTTGATCCCTGAAAAGAGCACAAATACAGTTAACAAGGACTCTAATTTTTTTTTTCCTTTTCTTTTTTTTTTTTTTTTTAGGTTTTTGCCATAGGGCATATTCGCTTGCCAGAGAGTGACAAAGAGAGGGAAAGTGAGTAATCCCCCCCCCCAAAAAGGGATAGCCACACCACAGTCCCTTCTCTTCCACCCTATTCTTGGGGTTTGGGGCACACACAAACACATGCCTGATAAGATTTTCAAGCCACTGGATTTAGGACTCAAACCATAGTCAACCATGTGAGGAATCCAGCACTTCAACCATCATGCCACCTGCTGGCCCCAGGGTTCTCATTTTTTTAAAAAAGCAGTTTGATTTTATTCTACCTTAAAGCATTATATTCCTACTTTTTCAAATGGCATCAAATTTGCTTTAGTTTATTAAATTTAGACCAATTCAGTATAAGGGAGGAAACTCTGGTAGATATATATCAATAAAATACATAATTGGTTTGAAAGAAAACAAATTATAAAATTTAACCAGAATAACATGTAACATTAATTGCAGCTATCTGCAGCAGGTTATCCTAATTCAAACCTTTCAGATACATGGTAACAGTCAATTCTCAGTAACAAGCGTAGCAAATCAATTTTCCTTACTGGGAGCAGATAATTACGCAAACTAGTAAAAGTTTCTAAAAGGAACTAATTGAAGATAATTCCTTGCAAACAAATTCTATACCTGGGGCTACAGAACAGGAAGAAGCCTCTTAAGACTCTATTTTAAAACCAACACATTGCCAAAACAATGTGGAATACAGACTTGTCCATAGGTGGTTTTGTACATTAGAGTTAACTTCAGACTCTTGATTAACTACCAGTGCCTGGCTTTTACTCCAAACCAAATCTGAGTCCCTACAGGTGAACACCTGGATTGTTTTTTAAAACTCTCCAGACGTATACATGATCTGTGATGGGTTGAGAACCATTGATTTAAATTTCAACGTAGAATTACTCACAAATGCTTTTAGACATTTTAATCAATAAAATGAAGTGGTCTTAGGAATTAAGTAAGCCACATAACAAGGTTGGATACTTCTGGGTACTTCTAACACTTTTTATAATCAATCCCTGCAGATTAACCTTGCACAGAATTTCATGCTTAATGAAAATATCTATTATTGTGAAGTTTTGTCTCTCATTTAATCGACATCAGTGACGTGACGAAGTAACATCCCTCATTGTAGTATAACAAAACAGCCCTTAACTCTTTCTCTCTCTCTCGCTTTATTGCCAGAGGGCATCCTGTCAGAATTTTTGGGCATGCACACACATGCAGTCATTTTTTAAGGAATGGGGGCTGAGATTCAAACCACAGTCAGCCATCTGGGATTTGGTTTTCTAAGCAAAGCACTTAACCAATGCAGGGCTGGCCCAAAGGCAGTTTTTGACAGAAGAGGAAGCATTAAATCAAAATCTGTCACAAAAAAGTCAGAAAAAGGTATATCAGGAGTTAAGACTGAGAATAGGATCATACTGATGAGTGTGAATTTTACAGAAGAGCTAGCCACACTCTACATGTTTAGGAAAACAATACAAGAGTTGAAGAAGGTTCAGGACGAGGCAGGGTAAGTATGATGGGCATTCAGTGTACACTCTGGCAAAACTTAAAAAAAAAAAAATTCTTGGGCCAGTAACTGGTTGGTAGTTAAGGCAGCTGGATCCTACATGACCATCCAGGTTCTAGTCCTGGATCTGGCGGCTTGAAAAACGTGTTGGGGAAACCAGCAGTTAGCGTAATGGCTATGTCGCTGGACTCCCACGTAGTCGACCGCGGTTCGTGTCCCGGACCCGGTGGCTTAAAACTCACGCCGGGCGCGTGTGCGTGCGTGCCCAAGATCCCGAGAGGAGAATGGAGGAGAAGGGATTGCGGCGTGACCATCCCCCCTGGGGGGGTGATTTCTCGCTTTCTGTCTCTATGTCTCTCTCTGTCTGTCTGGCGAGCGCACGCGCCCTACAGTGAAAATCTCTCAAAAAACAAAACAAAACAAACAAACAAAAAAAACGTGTTGGGAGGCCCATGAGTACACACGCTCAAAATTTCGAGAGAAGAATGGAGAAGGGATTGTAGTGTGGCTATCCTGCCTGGGGAATGAGTTCTCAATTTTCCTCTCTCTCTGGCAAACACATGTCCCTATGACAAGAATCTTAAAAAAAAAAAAAAAAAAAACCAGCCTCTCCAGCCCAGGGCCTACTGCCTCAAAGGCAGGAAGGGAAAGCAGATCTGGCCACCACTAAAGGCAGCATGGTTTAATATCAACAGCGACTGCAGCAGAGCATTACTTCCAGCTGAGCCTGAGCCAGTCCTAAATGTAAGTGTCAGGTGAAATAATGAAGTCTTATAGTAAGACTTAAAAGCAATTTAGTTCAACCATCCATCCAGTGTTTTCATTAGATCGGGGCTTCATCAATACTTTTCCATAAGTATGGAAAATACATGTCAACATCTTCTATAAAGGTAGAAAATGGCAGGACTAAATTAACTTTAATGATCTATACCAATCCAAAGAATCAGTAGTAACATTTAACCTTTAAATTCATCTCTATTCAAAAACAGCATGAATAGCTTAATCTTTTATGAAATGAACTTAGAATTACTTATTTTAAATTGTTTAACAACCCATTTTGTCACCATGTACTTTTTTTTTCAAATCAAAGGATATTAAAAAGTGTTTAGGGGTTGGCAGGTGGTGTGGGGTTAAGGTGCTGGATTCCCACATGGTCGACCACAGTTCGAGTCCCAGACTCGGTGACTTGCTTTCTCACTATCAACTCCTGCCCCCACCATAGTCAAAAATCTTAAATAAATTAATTTAATTACATATATAATTTTATTTTTTAAACAATATGTTTATCCTTTTACACATTCATTGCCTACTGTCTATAACACAAGATTTGGGGTTGCTTTTGTAAGTTTAATGTGGCCTTACTCTTGTCCCACCTCCACCAACTCTCCTAACCCCCACCGCCAATGAGATACAATGGAATTGAATTTTTCTCTAAGTATATGTATTGACTGAGCTGAGTAATGATCTCACAAAGAGATCAAAACCCTAGCCTTTTTCTTTGACAAATGGTCTACAGACCCCTACTCTGAAATGTTAATTTATACATGTTATATAGCATATTTATTATGACTATAGTCATTCATTTCTGTTGGAGCTAAGAATCTTACTTAGTAGGGCAGGACATAGTCACATACAATTTGGATGAAATATATTATGGGAGTAACAGGTTCTGGATAGCATTACAGACTCTGATCATCTGATCATTTCTAAGCAGTTGTAAGCTCCAATGAAGGCAATTCTCTAAACCTGTTCACATGACCTGGTATATGGACAGCCATACAAAGTAGTTCAGGTTAGAATCTCAGTCGCTGAGTTACTAATTTAGATTGCTCAATTTATTCTTTTTTCTGTTTATAAACATTTGTTTTAGGTTATCATAAAGACAACAAAAAGATTTAGAATGTATAGAAGAAACTAAAAACTATACAAATCTACCCCCAGAATATGGAAACAACCTCAGTTAATATTTTTTATACTTCTTTTTGTTTTATTTTCTGCATTTTTTAATACATTTAAAATCATGCAATATAAAATTTAGTATTCTGCTTTTTAAACTTAGTATTACAGCTATCAAAATGCTACAAGAAGATTCTTTTAACCATATCCCTACTGTTAGTCACAAAGGCTGCTTTTAATTTTCAGTACTCTAAAAATGCAAAAGAAAGATACTTGTGCATAAATCTTTTCCTGTACTTAGGATATATTTAAATCCATATTCTTACCAGATTCCCCAGCACTAAAATGATCAAATGGATTTCCTTCGGCATCTGGATTTAATAATACCATTTCAAATGGAATATCTTCCACCTGAGCATTCTCTTGGTCATCTTTGCATGTATACTTGTCTGCATAAAACACGTGCCAAGTCTGTGGAGACGGAATCTGGGACACTGTCATATTGTGTTCTGTCTGGTTCATGGCCACTTTAAAGAGAAAGAAAACAGAACTTTTCAAATCAGAACTCAAATGTGTTGTTTTAGTCACATAATTGATTTGAGGTTAGGATTCTTTAATTCTTATAACATCAAAATCCAAGCCCTAGTATAGTATTGAAATAAGGTCTGTAAATAATTTTAACCAAAGGAATCACTATAAAAATACTATGAAGTACCTCGAATGAGTAGAATGGTTTATTAAAACTTTGAATTCAATTTAAAATATTTTCAAATTTTCCTTTGGAAGTACCTCTCAGTGGGGTGCAGTCACACTGCAATCCTTCCTCCATCCCATCTGGACTTTGAGCATGTAAGTACATGTGCCCAGAGTGTACCCGAAGTCACTGAGGCTGGGCTGTGAACCACGGTCAATCATATGGGATCTGGTTTTCTATGCACAGCACCTAACCACTGCACTATGGGGGCCAGTCCTTAAAAAGTCTTTTTTGGGGCCAGCAGTTGGAGTAATAGCTATGTCACTGGACTCCCATGTAATCGACCTGTGGTTCGAGTCCCAAACCTGTTGACTTAAACTCACACTAGGCAAGTGTGCGTATGTGCCCAAGATCCCGAGAGAAGAATAGAGGAGAAGGGATTGTGGCATGGCCATTCCCTCTGGGGGATGATTTCTCACTTTCTGTCTCTCTGTCTCTATCTTTCCAGCAAGCACACATGCCCTATAGCAAAAATCTCTCCAAAAAAGTCTTTTTTACTGTGATAAAATACATAGAACATAGAATATCATTTTAACCATTTTTAAGTGTACAGTCTGTGGCATTAGGCACATTCACAATGCTGTACAACAATGACAGCAACATTCAAAAATTGAGTTAAATATAAAATGGAACATTAAATGTAAAAAAATCATGATGTCTAAAACCTGCGGCTGACAAATACTTCCAAAAGATTTTCTAAAATCTTTCTCTGATTGGTTGTTCGTTTTTTTTTTTTTTTTTAAGTTTTGCTATAAGACACATGTGCTCACTGGAGACAGAGAGAGAGAAAGTGAGACAGCACTCTGAGGGGATGGCCATATGCAATCCCTCCTCCTCTTGGGATTTCAGCCACATATGTACACCCTCCCGCCATGTGTTTCTCAAGCCACTGGTCTGGGACTTGATCAACGCTGTCAGCCAGGCAGGAGTCAGTCACCCCATTCTCCATGCCATTTGCTGGCTTTGACTGACTATTCTTTAAAGATACATTTACCTTCTTGAAGTAGAAAAGTAGAAATTACAAAAGGATAAAAATTATTATACCAAATCAGGTCCATATAAGGTGACCTGATATAGGCAAAAAATTCATGAATATTGGCATCAGACAGATGTGTTTGAAGCCCGTCTTTAATACTTACCTGCTATGTGACCTGGAGCAAGCTACATAACCAATGACACTCACAGTCTTCATCTGTAAAATGAAGTTAATGCCTATAACCAAGACCTAATATAAGAACTAAATTATATGAGTCATCTAGAATAGTATCTGTCATATAGTAGTTGCTAAAAAAAAAATCCTAATTCTTGGGCTAGCAGGTGGTGTGGTGGTTAAGGTGCTGGACTCCCACATGGCTGACCCTGGTTGGAATCCTGGACATGGTGGCTTGCATTCTCACTTTCTCTTTCTCCCCCTTTGGTCAAATTAAAAATTAATAATAACAAATAAACTACATTTTAAAAATGGTAATTCTTATTTCCACTTAAGAAAAAAAACAAGGAAGTTTTACTATTAAGCAGTTTTCAATTTGGGATAATCCTGCTCTTCTCCTAGGCTTTTAAAAATGTATGGAGTCCATTTTGTCATTACACTACCTGTGAAGACATGTGGAGGGAGCTGTGTTAAATCTCATGCAATACCAGCTAAAGATCTCATGGTACTGCATTGTTCTGCCTAAAATACCAATAGCATCCTCTTTTGAGAAACTCAAGATCTGAAACTATGATTCTAACTAACTCTGGACAGCAGTGTCTGGAACTGTAGTATAATGAAAATAATAGCAGTTAAAATAGCAAGTCTTGTGACTCAGCAAATAAAGTACAACCTCTCTAAATTTGTTTCCTCAGTAGTAAAATGATGGTATCTACCCTATCTAGCTCAGAGTCCTGGTGAGGAGCAAACAAGACGACATGAAAATCCTATTTAGAGTATGTTTCTATACAAAGAAGAGTTTTATTTAGAGAGATTTTTGCTATAGGCCATACGCGCTTGCTGGAGAGACAGAGAGAAAGTGAGAAATCACCGCTCAGGGGGGATGGCAATGCTGCAATCCCTTCTCCTCTAGTCTCCTCTTGGGATCTCAGGCATGCACGCACACACTCAGCATGAGTTTTAAGCAACCGCGTCTTGGACTCAAAATACGGTTGACTACATGTGAGTCCAGTGATGTAACCATTACAACATCTGCTGGTCTCCCAAGGTAGAATTTTCTTAAAACATAAGATTATGATGGGCCCAATTCTCAAACTATAAATTGCTTCCACAATATGACAATATTTCAGGAAAAAATTAATCTTGATCTTTTTCTCAATTAGAAAAAAAATTTTTTTTTCTTTTTTTGGTGAGGTTTTTGCTATAGGGTGCGTGCGCTCACCAGACAGACAGAGACAGAGAGAAAGAAAGCGAGAAATCCCCCCCCGGGGGGTGGCCACACCGCAGTCCCTTCTCCTCCATTCTCCTCTTGGGATCTTGGGCACGCACGCACATGCACCCGGTGTGAGTTTAAGCCACCGGGTCCAGGACTTGAACGCGGTCGACTATGTGGGAGTCCAGCGACACAGCCATTACGCTAACTGCTGGTCCCAATTAGAAAAAAATTTTTTAATAAAAAAGACTTTTCTTGAGGTAACTAGAAATTTGCATATAGAAGAGATTTTGGAGGATGTTATAAAATTATTCATTTTCTTAGGCATAAAAACGATGTTTTGGTTATGTAAAAGAATGTCCTTATTCTTAGAAGATATGTATGTTAAAGTACGGAGGGGTGAACCCATTCATGAAATCAGCAGCTTGTTTACATTAGGTACAAATGAACACAAAACCATACATATACAAATATAAATCAAATGAAACAAATATTAACAATGATTGAATCTAAACAGAGGATATACAGATGCTGGCTGAACTATACTCTCAACTTTTCAGTATATATGAAAATTTTCCTTATAGAAAGTTGGGGGCCAGCAGATGGCATAATGGTTACATTGCTGGATTCCCATGTAGTCAACTGCAGTTCGAGTCTCAGACTCTGAAGCTTAAAACTCACCCAGGGTATGTGTGTGTGCCCCCAAAATTCTGAGAAGAGAATGGAGAAGAAGGGACTGTGGCAAGGGGAGTGCAAGAAATCACTGGGGAGTGATTTCTTGCTTCCTGTCTCTTTGCCTCTGTCTTTCTGGCAAGCGCACAAGCTCTATAGCAAAAATCTCTCTAAAAAAAGTAAGTTGGAAAAATGTTATAGATTGTCTTCATGTGAGATTAAGATGTGTCTGATCAGCATTCAAATTTTGAGGCGTTCAATGTCGGAATGGGGAATATCAGTCACTAGTAGTTCAACTAGAAGAAGAAGATCTGATTAACAACACGCTGTATCGTAGCTTTTGTAGTGACTGTACATGAGCTAACATCTAGCTTTCTTTTTTCTTTTTGTTAAGTATACAGCTTCTGGAAAAGTACAGTAAAGACTAGTTTGTTAAATATTTAAAGATCTTTAATAAGAAAATAGGATCAATAAATGGTTCAGAAATGAGGCCATTTACATGTGCAGCTTGCAATTAGAAAATACAAACCTCATTACATAAAAAGCTCTGTTTTACCACTTGTGCTTTCTCTCTTAGATAAAGTGATTTTAAAAATTAACCATTATATTTTCACTGATTTTTTCTGATGTTTCATTTTAAATTATGTGGATTTACATCAAACAGAAACTAAAATGTGCTTCCTAAAGCTATACAGGCCTTTAGTTTTTTTCTTGCTGTCTTTTTCAGCAAGCCTGCAAAACAAGCCTCTTGACAAAACTGTGTTCATTGTTTTTAAGACAAAAAGACTACAGCATAGCAAGCATATTCTATGCTGGTTTAATTAGTACTTCAAATATTAACAACACCTGAACTGCAAAGAATGGTGAATAGCTAACTTCCCAATCGCATTATAAAAGGAGAAGAATGACGTTCACTAAAAAAGAGTAATAATATATTAATGCTTTTAAATAGTTTATAAAAATACCAAATGTACAAAAGGAATCATGTACCTAAGATGTAATACGTCAATATTGAAATTAATTTTTTTCTTTTTTGCTAGAGGGCATGTATGCTTACCAGAGAAAAACAGAGAGACAGAGACAGAGAGAGAGGAAGAGAAGAAAGCATTCCCCATGGGGAATGATCATGTCTTCAGTCCCTTTTTCTCCATCTTTCCCTCCTTTTGGGATTTTGGGCGCATATACACAAGTACGTGGCATGTTTCTCAAGCTGCCAGGTCCAGGATCTGAACTGTGCCATCAGCTATGTGGGATCTGACTGCCTTAACCACCAGACCATGGAGCTGGCCCTTAAAATGTTTTATATATAAGTATCATGCTTAGCACCTGTAATCTGACAGCAAATTATTTTAAATCTCGTTAACTATTTTTATATAGAAATATATAACTCATCAGTGCTTTAAAACTTGTTTGCTTGCTTCATAAACCTAGAGCGTAGTTTATAACATTAAAAAAAATTCCAATGTTTTATGCCGTTAAACAAGGATGACTGAAAAATAACTTCTTGAGCTGAGATGGATACCGAACTTGAGCTGTGAAATATTGCTTACTTTGACTAAAAATGAAGAGTTTCTGCTGAGATTTCTCCCTCCAGATTCATTTCTAGTGGGTAGGGCTACCTCTGTCTCTTTCTCTCCATTTCTCTCTGCCTCTGTGTCTCCTTGTGTCTTTTAATATTTCTCTGGGTTCTCAAGCCCCTACTTTATTGCACTAATTTGTGCCTTTCCCCATTCCATTTAGGAAAGGTATGAACCCAGGCCCATCTTGAGATGGATACCGAACTTGAACTGTGAAATATTGGTTTTTATTTTTTGCTTTTTAAAATTAAAATCTAAAATTTTTTATTATCTTTTATCTTTCTTCTTTTTTACTTTATTTTTTTTCTTCTTCTCTCCTCTTCTCTAATTCTTTTCCTTTTTTCTTTATCTTTATCATTGGCTGCTCAGCCTCTACACACTAAGTGTCTAGACAGGTCCAAGTGAACAGGATCCAAATAGAATCAATTAGGGTCAGGATATTCCTCTATTCCCACTGAATTTGATGCACAAAGAGTGAAAATGGAACAGAAGAGAGATTGCAGATCATGTCCTCCTGCACGCCTCTGAATGTTCAGACAGAACTTCAAGAATTATGAAGAAACACAACATCCATCAGATGAATAAAAATCACTGCTGGGTTACAAGAAATATGGCAAAGCAAAAAAATACCTCTCCTCCAAGAGAAAAGAGTAACTTCTCTTCATCCTCAGATAGTACAATGAAACTCATGGAAGTGTCTAATAAAGAATTTAGAATATTCATAGTGACAAAGCTAACAGAGATGGAAGAGAAGAGAGACAATGAACTGCAGAAGAGGCAGAAGAAAAGAGCTGATGAGTTCCAGGAGGTGAGAAAATCCTTCCAAGATCTAAAAGAAGAAATACACACTATAAAAAAGAATCAAATGGACCTGTTAGAGATGAAGGCCATAATACAATAAGTCAAAACCTCCCTTGAAAGTATTAAAAACAGACTAGATCATACAGAAAATCGAATCTCAGATGTAGAAGACAGAATCGCTGGCCTAGAAAATTCCACCATGAAGACTGAGAAAATTGCCCACCAAAAATGAGAATAATATATAAGAAATACTAGATACCATCAAATGTCCAAACATCTGGATAATTGGTATTCCAGACGGTAAAGAGACTTAGAAGGGCATTGATAGTTTATTCCATGAAATCCTAGAAGAAAATTTTCCAAACCTAGAGAGGCATTCAAAAATCAGTACCAAGAAATACAAAGGACCCCTAATAGATTCAATCCAAGAAGATCTTCTCCAATATAGCCAAATTGACCAAAATCACAGACAAAGACAAGATAATAAGATTGGCAAGAGAAAAATGGCAAGTTACTTACAAAGGATATCCCATCAGGCTGGCAGCAGACCTCTCATCGGAAACAATGTAAGTGAGGAAAGAATGGGAAAACATATTCAAAATGTTAAGAGAAAGCAATTTCAACCAAGAATACTGTACCAGGCAAGATTATCCTTCATATGTGAAGAAAAGACAAAAACATTCTCAGGTAAACAAAACCTGAAAGAATTTACCAACACCAGACCAGATCTCCAAGAAGTTCTCAAGGGAGTGCTATACCAGGAAAATTAAATACAGACACATAGAAACAAGAATTCAAAAGCTAAGAAAATGGCCAATTTAATTGTCGGGACAAGTCTGGAGTTGAATATTATATCCCAGAATTTAATTGGGAAGATAGAACCACAACAGAAGATATATTAAGTACATGGGACTGAACTGGAGAAATAGAATTTTATGACTTTTGACTAAAACTTTGCTGATTTTCTTCTTAGGCTTTGTTTTCCAGTTTTAAGGATTTTTGTCCTATCTTGAGCCACTGATAGGTTCATGTTTAAACAGAATCCCAACCTGTTTCCTGACTGTCATATTTATTAAGGAGGGGGATTCAATTTCCTTAACAGCCTGTCATTTGAATTGAGATTATTATCATTCCAGTAGTCAAGGACTGCAATTGAACCACTTTCCTTGTTACACTTGTTAAGTAAGGAATAATGTGCAACAGGCCTCATCATGGATAAGTTGCATGGTATTTGTATATAATGCATTATTCTCTAAAATATGGCTGACTTTTACTTACTGTATTTAGCATTTATTTGCACTAAACTTTATAAATGAGAAAAAAATAAAATAATTCTTTAAAAATAAAGTTTCTTTAAAAAGAGGAGAAAAATAACTTCTTGAAGATAAATCAAGCAATATTCAAGAAAATGAGATTTTTCAAATCTGCCAGTCTTTTCATGGTACACAGCTGCAGTAGTTTCATACAGAAGCTGTCATTTAATGAGTTCATTAACAGGTGAAAAGCAATTCTTAGAGGTCTCATGAAGGGTCAGGAAATGCACTTTTCACAAATAATTATGTTTAAATATATGGTACTATCACTGTGTTATTTAGTAAAGAATATGCTTTTTGTTTCAATGTACCTAAGCTCCAAATAGTAACATATAGTAAAAATGACAACTAATATATTACAGTTAGGGACAATAGATTTTTTTGGATTGTTACTGAAAAGAACCGATAAAATATATAGAAAGTTGTGTGTGTGTGTGAGAGAGAGAGAGAGAGAGAGAGTTACTCTGGTATCTGACATATCACCAATACCTAGTTATAGTACACAGAAACACAGAACAATGGAAATGTTCAGTGAATGAATGAATGAATTCATGAACAGAATGAAAGAGTCCTACTCCTTTTCCTGACTGATTTATAATATATAAATAAAGTGTAAAGTGGTAACTATTATAAATGCTGTGCAGAAAAGCAAGAGGCTATAAAAACGTAGGTGTTAATTTAGTGGAAGAAAGAGCCGAAGGAAGGAAATTGAAGAGAGAAAGCCTGTGCAAAGGCTCAGGGAAGCCCTGGAATAAAAGCACGTGGGAGAGGGGCAGTGCTGGGAGCTGAAGCTGGAGAAGTAAGCAACATATTGTCTATGGAGTCATTGTTGATCAGGTTAAGGAGGCCTATCTTTGTCCTGAAGGCACTCAAGTATTTAAAAGGTATGGTTAGGAACGTGAATTCAACATGACCAGATCAGCTGTTTAGAAAGAACATTCTGGATCCTGAAAGAGCACCAGCAAAGCTACAGAGTGGTCAGATAGGAGGCTACTGGGATAGTACAGGCATGAGATGATGGCAGCTTGGAATAACATGGTGGGGGTAGAGAGGGAGAAGAACAGACATTGAGAAGTAAGCCCCAGGACTCACTGATAAGCTAGGAGGGGGCAGAGGCAAAAGTGGGGAGTGTAAGAAGATGCCTGGCCTCTTGCTTCTTTCCTGACACAGGCAACACTGGACAGGACCAGGTCTGGATGGGGGTAGATGGCAAGTTTAGTTCGGACACTGAAAGAACAAGGAACCAAAAAAAGATAAACTTTTATAGACATATGGAACACTTAGAGGAGCAAACTGGTGTACAAAGAAAAAGATAACTGATAATGAGCACGGGTACAAATTTCCCAGGTGAATTTTTAAATTCAAGGCTGAGGTAAATAAATTCATTTAGCTGTCTCTTTGATATCTGAATCCAACTATTCAGACCTCTTTGGCATACTCACAAATCTAAATAAAAGATTCCACAGTGGGTAGCAAAGAATGGGACCTTTCCTTATCCCTCATCTGGCTAAGTGTTTTATGAGGAAATCAGGTAGCTCCTAAGATTTAAGAACGAAGGTTTAGAAATGGGGGTTTCACTTGGGTAGGCTAAAAGAGCCTACCATGTTCTGTAGACAGATGAATCTCTGAATAATAAGGGGAAAAAAGGGAAAGATATAATTTCTTTTTTTTTTTTTTCAATTTTTAAAAAAATTTTTTTTTTTTTAATTGATGCTTCAAATTCCCAATGGCTCTTACAACCAATTAACTTAAAGGGGGTAAGATGGGTAGAATGGCACGTTTTTAATATCTTTATTTTAAAAGATCATTTGGGATAGCTAACACCCTAATGCATGGAAGTGCTGATAAGAATAGATGAGGTTAAGAATCTGAGCCACTAGATTAGGATTAAAAAAAAGTAGAGCCTTCTCTAGAGGCAAATCTACGGGTTTATAAATGATATGGTACTGGTACATCCAAAGTGACACATTTTGTCTCCTTATGACTATAACTCATGTACTAATGGCATAAGACAGTACCACTAGAGCTAAATTACACAATTAACTGAGATACATATTCAGGGTTGAGTTTCATACTGGCAGAAATAAACAGTCAACAAATGTTATTCATCGCATGCTAGTAGTGAGAAAACGAATCTGCCATACTGGCATGAATTATGCAAACTATAGATTCTCAGTGAAGGAAAGGACTCCTTTATAAATTTTCTGGATATTGAAAAAAAAAAAATTGAAGTCTAAAGGAAAGAAAAGGCATTCTATTTTTCAAACAAAGATTAGTTTCCTTAAAATTCCCCTACCACATACTACCAAAAGTGTTGGCACACTGTGATGAATGCTGTCATGCAACATCTTGGTATGTACATACTATATTATATTTCAATATTAAAGAGGGAAAAGCATGTCTAATAATTAAGGAAAGAAAAGATATACTCACTTGTCAACTGAGCTTTGGCTAATTTTTCACTACAACTATAATCATGACTGTTTTCTTGCAACTTCAGCCATTCCTGGGCTTGAAACAGGTAGAGTTTAGCTTCTTTTCCAATAGCTACTGGTATGTTGTTGATTCTGACACACAGAAGAGCATGGTCACCTTGACATTAAAACAAAAAGTGTCAGCTAGTGCAGTCTTATATGGAACTGGAGATGGTAGGACATTTAATGTCTCTACTTAACAAAATGGGAATTTAAAAAGTACGATTTTTAAAAAATCTCACTTAACTAGGTATATCACATTACAACGAACATTATATTCAGGTGCAAGACCAGAAACTATTCAAATTAATCTGTAATATGTCTTTATAATTAAGCTTAATCATATTTCACTAAATACTGGGTATCTGGACATTCACTGTTAGAATTTCTGCCTCATTTTACAACCACTCCATGCACCTTTAACATTTGTTCACAAACTATAAGTTTGTTTACTATGACATGTATGACATGGTTATTAATACTTTTTTTTTTTTTACCTTTTTTATTTTTTGCCCTTTTTTTTTTTTTTTTTTTGGAGAGGTTTTCGCTATAGGGCGCATGCGCTCGCCAGACAGACAGAGACATAGAGACAGAAAGCGAGAAATCACCCCCCAGGGGGGATGGTCACGCCACAATCCCTTCTCCTCCATTTTCCTCTCGGGATCTTGGGCACGCACGCACACGCGCCCGGCATGAGTTTTAAGCCACCGGGTCCGGGACGCGAACCGCGGTCTTTTTTTTTCTTAAGGTTTTTGACATAGAGGGTGTGCGCTTGCCAGAGAAAGACAGACAGAGACCCAGAGAGAGAAAGTAAGAAATCAGCCCCTAGTAGGGATGGCCATGCCTTTATCCCTTTTCCTCCATTCTCTTCTCAGGATTTTGGGCATGCATACACAAGTGTGTGGCATGATGGTCAAGCCACTGGGTCTGGGGCTTGAACTGTGGTCAGTCATGTGGAAGCACAGTGCCCTGGTTGTTAATATTTAATTATACTTATAAAAAATAGGTATATGCTAATAGGAGAAAAGTTTAAATGTTTTGAGATAGTCATTTTACACTTGAAAAAAATTTGATATCTGTAACTTTAATAAAAAGCACTTTCAGAACAATATATGTTGTGAGACTGCTATAGAATGATCCTGGTTGAGCACACCAACTACATTTAAGGAATGGAAATGGCAAAAAGTAGTTGCCTTCAGGGATAGAAACTCCAGGTGAGCAGAGGGAAGCAAGTGACACTCGCTCACTTCTCACTTTGAGATCTTCAATTCACCCGGTTCTCTTTTTTTAATTATTTAATCATATTTATTATTACTCTAATTTGCTATAGGGCACTAGACAGAGAGAGGGAGGGAAAGTGAGAAAGCAAGCTTCTAGGTCTGGGATTCGAACCACAGTTGGCCATGTGGGAATCCAGTGCCCCAGCTACCATGCCACCTGCTGACTCCATGTGGGCATGTTGTTCTTCTAAAGTTTGCTACTGTGATTATCACTATGCTTAAACGTTTTAAATATTAAATATACAGTATATGTCTAAAGATGTCTAAGTCTTTCACATGATTTGATTACATTATAAATTATCAATAATTTTAGAAGTGACTGTAAGGTCATATTAACATCTCAAATTGTATTCTGAGTTACAGTTCATTTTTTTCAGAATAATCTTAGTATTACTATTTTACTGAATTGGAATACACTGAAAATTGGCAGCTAAGCATATATGTAAATACGTGTGGGTGTACATATATATATGAAAGAGAATACTTGGAACACTCTGTTCCTAGGATGTCTTGAGAAATCTGGATTTAGTACATTTCTCCTCTACATGTAGCACGTAGTCATCATGAACTATCACGGTAGTTTTATGGTTTTCTGCTAGTTATGAATAACTTAGGTCACAGCTACCACACATCTGGCTTTTCCAGCACTGTCCAGATTGTGCCATTTATTACAGTGACATTACTATTGCTATACTAGAAGTTATGATTACAGTCAGTCGATTAAGAAACTGATAATGTGACAAAACCCAATGTTTCTAGGATTTGTCCTGTCACCCAATGTATAGTTCACACAGGATTTTGGAAAACTGGGTTGTACTCCTTTTCTCAGCTATCTTAAACACTTTGGAGAGAGGGAAAAAAAAATGTTATCCTCCCTTATATTATCAATTTTATAATTTCCCAATACTTTAAATTCTTTTCTCATATTGAAATAACATCATTTCTATTATCTTCCCCTAAGAATCCTTTTTAGGCCAATAATCTAATCTGCCCAAATAATTTGAAATGTATTACTCTTCAAAGAGTTCAGAGAGGATGTATCAAGAAAACCAACTAAAGTTTATGGGTGCCAATAAACAAGGCAAAATCAGAATGAACTGCAAGTTCATTCATTAAAGAATCTGTAGGTTTCTGAGGGCGCCCTGAAGGTAAGAATCGAATGCACGTGACTTCAGGAGGTCGCGTGAAAATACAAAAATTAAGAAGCCTCCAGGACCCCAGTTACACATGCATCTCTGGTAACTGAGTTCTAAGCCAAGCCTTACGGTCCACAGGAAAACTAAGGCACCAAGTAACCACGCTGTTCTGGCAACGATGACAACTAGATTCTCAGGCGTTTTACTTGGTTTCCTAAATCTCTAGGCTGCATGCAGGTTTTAGCAAATGGGTTTAAAATCAAACAAAACCCCCCAGGACATCCAACATTCCTGGGCCTCAATTCACAGGTAACCCACAGTGCCTTCGTGGACATAATCTGGCCAAGACAGGAGTGAGCCAACGACGGACGCTTCTTAGGAGGGAGGATCTGGAAAACACAGCAAACCAGTATTTGCATATTCGTCTGCACCGGGAGGAGCGGGGAAATGGAAACCGGCTTTCAGGTGCACAACTCCTGCGCTAATCGCGCGAGGCGGCCGCCGAGCGCCTGGGAAGCAGCAATCGCAAGGCTAGGGAGAAACGCATCCCACGATTCCGGGCAGCGGCGGGGGGCGCTGCGGCGACCAGGCGAGCCCAGATGAGGCTGAGAGGCCGCCGACCTCGCCCAACGTGGCGAGAGGGGCTGGGCTGCAGGCCTCCCGGGGCGGCGGGCGGAGGAGCTGC